GTAAATCTCACAACGTGTAGCGGCTGATGACACCGGTCCTGTGTTGGTTTCTTATTGTTTTTTGGCTTCCTGAATGGTGCTCTTATCTGGCCACCCCCATTTTAACATGCTCTTCTTGCGATCTAGTCACGTTTACTCTTAAGTAAATGACCCCCTTCAGGCGTTTTGGGCATTTGGGCTAGACCTTTATTTTATAGGTACTCGGCAAATGATGCTACCAGCATCCCACCAGACCCTTTTTCTTCCCAGGACTGTGCCTGGTACCAATTTAAGACTGGGTCAACCTGGGAGTCGAGGTCAATTTTGAAAAAAAAAGTACAGCTCTGTCAGGACCCGAACACACGACCTTCCAATCCGCAGGCGAGCGTATAGCCGTCCGCACCACTGTGACTCCCATATCGTTACTGCTGGCCATTTTAACTCCCGGTTTCTTCCTCTTTCATTTGTATCCTATCTCTTTCACACCTTCCTCCTCATTTTTTTTTATTTTCCTCCTCCCTTCTTTTCCTTTGCTCTTTCTGGCCCATCTTTCCCCCTCCACCTCTTCTCCCATCATCTCCTCCATTCAGCCATCGCAAAAAATCATTAGGGAGCTTAGCCCCTTATAGTTTTTCTAGGCAGAGGCGCCTCAAGGGTTTAAACCTGGTTCAAGTGCGCAATAATAAAACTAATAATAATGTGCCTTTGGGGGAGGGCGGGATCCTCTCTCTAGGATTGTAGTCTATATGATTACTATCTCAAAACAGCATACAAGTAGATACTTGCAAGCCTTGTTCAAGTGTACAGTTATATATATATATATATATATATATATATATATATATATATATATATATATATATATATATATATATATATATATATATATATATAATGTGTCGGTTGTTTTTCCCTCTCCATGCAGGACTGCGATGTGTAGTATTTACTAGGGCTGTACCGAATATTCGCTTCGTATTCGCTTCTGGGCCGAATAGTGGACCTAATAACTATTCGGTATTCAGCCGAATAGTTGCGGTCGGGCCGAATACGAATAGTGGTTACCTTACACCCGTTCCTGGACTGGTAGAAATTAAACATATCAAGATTTTCCACCTTGGTTCATACTGTCCAGCGTTATCTCTGTGCACCAACTACGTGCGTACCAAGTCAACGTCTGTTTAGTAAAGCTGGAAATACCTTCAGTGAGACAAGAAGCTGCCTTAATGCTGACAGCATGGAATGATTTGTGTGTGTGTGTGTGTGTGTGTGTGTGTGTGTGTGTGTGTGTGTGTGTGTGTGTGTTGTGTGTGTGTGGAAAGCTAATGCCGCTTTCATGGATTAATTAAGCTGTCAGTGACAATTTACAAGTTTAGTTACTTGTTATAAAACTAAGAATACTTTCACTTCTATGTATTAGTTACCACAGACTGACTGACTGAAGAATGCAAAACATTAAATGTATATAAATGTTTACTATTCTGTACTACATTTTGTGAAGTAAAATGTCAGCATACATTTGACATTATAGATGTTTTCTTTTTAGATCTATTTTATATACGAAAGTGGAAGAGTGGGCCTCAGTGTGAATGGTGGGAAGACAGAAGTAATGGTGGTATCAAAGAAAATAATTACTCCTAAATGTGTAATAAAAGTCAATGGTTTTATTTTGGGACAAGTACGGAAATTTAAGTATCTGGGCACATGGATAACATCAGATGGAAGATGCATTACTGAAATAAGAAACATAATAGGACAGACAAAAACTGCATTTTATAAAATTAAGAACATCTTATGCAACATATCTTTGTCATTGAAGGTTAGACAAAGAATTCTTGCTTGCTACATACATCCAGTTTTAACATATGGCTGTAAGTCCTGGACAATCGGTAAGCAGGCCAAACAATTTCTTGAAGCCTCAGAAATGTGGTATTACAGAACAATGCTTAAAATACCCTGGATAGTGAACGAACATCGAACCGAGGCGAGCGGTGCTTACTACAAGAAGGCTGGTAAACCAGCAATGAACTGGGTCGAGCAGTGCTCACTACAAGAAGACTGGTGAACGAACATCGAACTAGGGCGAGCCGTGCTCACTACAAGAAGACTGGTGAACGAACATCGAACTGGGGCGAGCGGTGCTCACTTCAAGAAGACTAGTGAACGAGCATCAGACTGGGGTGAGCGGTGCTCACTACAAGAAGACTGGTGAACGAACATCGAACTGGGGCGAGCGGTGCTCACTACAAGAAGACTAGTAAACGAACATCGAACTGGGGCGAGCGGTGCTCACTACAAGAAGGCGGGTAAACCAGCAATGAACTGGGCCGGGCAGTGCTCACTACAAGAAGACTAGTGAACGAACATCGAACTTCGGCGAGAGGTGCTATCTACAAGAAGGCTGGTAAACCAGCAATGAACTGGGCCGGGCAGTGCTCACTACAAGAAGACTAGTGAACGAACATCGAACTGGGGCGAGCGGCGCATACTACAAGAAGGTTGGTAAACCAGCAATGAACTGGGTCGAGCAGTGCTCACTACAAGAAGACTAGTGAACGAATATCGAACTGGGGCGAGCGGTGCTATCTACAAGAAAGCTGGTAAACCAGCAATGAACTGGGTCGGGCAGTGCTCACTACAAGAAGACTAGTGAACGAACATCGAACTGGGGTGAGCGGTGCTTACTACAAGAAGACTAGTGAACGAACATCGAACTGGGGCGAGCGGTGATCACTACAAGAAGGCTAGTAAACGAACATCGAACTGGGGCGAGCGGTGCTCACTACAAGAAGACTAGTGAACGAACATCGAACTGGGGCGAGCGGCGCATACTACAAGAAGGTTGGTAAACCAGCAATGAACTGGGTCGAGCAGTGCTCACTACAAGAAGACTAGTGAACGAATATCGAACTGGGGCGAGCGGTGCTATCTACAAGAAAGCTGGTAAACCAGCAATGAACTGGGTCGGGCAGTGCTCACTACAAGAAGACTAGTGAACGAACATCGAACTGGGGTGAGCGGTGCTTACTACAAGAAGACTAGTGAACGAACATCGAACTGGGGCGAGCGGTGATCACTACAAGAAGGCTAGTAAACGAACATCGAACTGGGGCGAGCGGTGCTCACTACAAGAAGACTAGTGAACGAACATCGAACTGGGGCGAGCGGTGCTCACTACAAGAAGGTTGGTAAACCAGCAATGAACTGGGTCGGACAGTGCTCACTATAGGAAGACTAGTGAACGTACATCGAACTGAGGCGAGCGGTGCTCAGAGATGTGGTATTACAGAACAATGCTTAAAATACCCTGGACAGAAAAGAAAAAAAAAAAAAAAAAGCAGCCAAGAAGTTTTAATAGAGTTGGGAGCCCGAAGACAACTACTCACAGACATCAGGAGACAGTCATCATTTTTCGGCCATCTTATGAGAAGAGGGAAAATAGAACATGTGGTGACCACTGGAAAGATCTGTGGAAGGAGGGATAGAGGAAGAGAAGATGCTTGACAGTCTTGTTGCATGGCATGGAGGTGTGTCAGTACACGAACTAATACATGCAGCAGGAGATCCAAATCCATCTGCGACTCGCTGCAGCCCACGGTCGGTGTTTGAAACCGGGCGGTTCCCGGGGTTCACCCAGCCTCTAGGAAATGGGTACCAGAGTGATACTCTGGGGTAAATGGAGGAACGTCGCTGTAGCTACAGAGTTATGTGCGGACGGCGACACAGGCGGACAATTCTTATCAGCTGTCCGTACTGGTGGCAGAGCACTTATGGTTTATAACTGTGTGCAATGACGCTGGTTCACATCTCCCGACTTTACTTTTACCAGTCCGCAAAGCACCTGATGATGATGATCCACTATTCATATTGGGCCGAATAGTTGGTCCAGCTATTCGTATACGGCCGAATAGTAAAAAAAACCCTATTCGGTACAGCCCTAGTATTTACATCTCAAAACAGCACACAGTGGGATACTTGCAACGCCTGCCTACCACCATAGCCTCTATCTGACAAAACAGTAGCGCCGCGGCCACAGGCCAAACAATGTTAATGAGAATTTTACACCAAAACGCAGAGGCCCTTAAACCTTACAGCTTGCAAAACTTCTCTATTACTACCTCATTTGACCCCTGACCTTTCCATGTCTAAGGGGACATAATCGCAATTACATCCGCTTTGAAGGGTTGAACACGTCAAGCCGAAGAACAAATCCGAACTTTTGTGGACAACAAACCTTGTTTATAATGTCTAATTTTCTTCTGTATCGCCCGTGAGACGTGTATTTCTCTACAGTAACAAAAATATAGTGCATTTAGTTTGTGTAATTGTTTTAGTTTCTATAATATTGCTTACTGGGTGAGTGGCGATAGTTAGCAGACTTATCTGTTGTAGCCAGGAAGGAGCCTCACTCAAAAGTCACAAAACTCGGGAACTAAATTAAAACAGTCGCAATCCTCCTTATCAAGACCGTTAAATAAATAAACCGGCATTAGGAACGACTTCTAACCGACATTACGTTTTATAACTTCCTTGCTACCAGGACAGTATTGTTGTAGCAGAAAAACATGGCGGGTTCTGGTTACGGAAAGTTTACAGTGTTTGTTATCGTGATATCTGGTGTTGTAGTTTACTCAAGCTGCACAAATCCTGCCACAGCCAGGCGTTGACGCACCAAATGTCCCAAGGAAGATTGATGATAATAGTTTACCTGGACAGCTTCCAAAAGTTGGTCTTCCTGCTTTAAATTTTAGCCCAGTCACAGAGAAGCCAGGCAATATTGGAATCCCTGTGGGCAATCCAAAGCCACCAGCGAAGCCTCAGGATGCAGCAGCAGATGATACAGGCAAGCAGAGGAGGAAAGAGCATATGAGGATTGCTGAATCCCCTGAATGTCAGGATGATGTGAGAAAATTCTGCCCGGAGAAAGCAAATAGCAACAACTTTGTTGTTCTTGACTGTCTTCAAGATGATGAGAAGGTAGTGCTAAAGTTGTTGCGGAAAGAATTTCTCCAAATTCTCTCTCTTCATCTTCGCTTATATTCCTTCATCCTTCTTCTTCCCTTATACTCCTCCATCCTTTTTCTTCCCTTATACTCCTGCATCCTTCTTCTTCCCTTATACTCCTCCATCCTTCTTCTTCCCTTATACTCCTTCATCCTTTTTCTTCCCTTATACTCCTTCATCATTCTTCTTCCCTTATACTCCTCCACCCTTCTTCCCTTATACTCCTGCACCCTTCTTCTTCCCTTATACTCCTGCATCCTTTTTCTTCCCTTATACTCCTCCACCCTTCTTCTTCCCTTATACTCCTGCACCCTTCTTCTTCCCTTATACTCCTCCACCCTTCTTCTTCCCTTATACTCCTGCACCCTTCTTCTTCCCTTATACTCCTGCACCCTTCTTCTTCCCTTATACTCCTGCATCCTTTTTCTTCCCTTATACTCCTGCATCCTTCTTCTTCCCTTATACTCCTCCATCCTTCTTCTTCCCTTATACTCCTTCATCCTTTTTCTTCCCTTATACTCCTTCATCATTCTTCTTCCCTTATACTCCTGCACCCTTCTTCTTCCCTTATACTCCTCCACCCTTCTTCTTCCCTTATACTCCTCCACCCTTCTTCTTCCCTTATACTCCTCCACCCTTCTTTTTCCCCTTATACTCCTCCACCCTTCTTCTTCCCTTATACTCCTCCACCCTTCTTCTTCCTAGATACTCCTCCATCCTTCTTCTTTCCTTATACTCCTCCACCCTTTTTAACTCCTTCTCCTTCCTTTTCGTCCTATCCCCCCTCCAAATCCCTTTTTTTTCCTATCTTCCTTTATACTCCTCGATCCTTCCTGACTTCTCCTTCCTTTTCCTCATATTCCCGCCTCCAAATCTTTTTTCAATCCTTCTTTATACTAATCTATCTTTCCTCACTTCTCCTCCTACTCATTTTTTTCCCCTATCCATCCCCCTTCTTAGTTCTTCTGCTTGCCTCTTCACTACCTCTCCTGTACATATTCTTATAAATTCTTTCCATAAAAATATATCTATGTTTATGTTATTTATATATATATATATATATACATGTATATATATATATATATATATATATATTATATATATATATATATACATATATATATATATATATATATATATATATATGCCCGGCTCTCTAGCGAAGTTGTTTAAACCTGACTTTCGCGGCGGCCGGGTGACGAACTCCTTGTGGTCCGGGGTTTTCCTGGGGGTAGGCAGAAAAGCCACATTTCTCCCAGATTAACGGTACCTATAATGGAATCAATGCCGAAGGGTTGCGATATCCATAGTACAGAGCCAAAGGGTTTACAACTCATGGTTTCTGGATACGTTAAAAAAAAAAAAAAATAAATATATATATATATATATACACACACACACACACACACACATATCTATATTGTGTTAGTTGTGTATCCTTTACAGGACGATGCAGAACCAACCCCAGCATTTTTTTTTTGCTGTTGTGGTTTTTCTAGGCAGATTTAATGTTCAGTAGCATGCCATTGTTTTCTGAACGGTTGGCTGTCAGTATCACTCTCAAAAGCATTGCAAGATGCTTTACTGCAAAATGGCCTGCACCTGGGATTTAACCCAGCAGCCTGGCTTTATGAAGCGCATTTCGCAAGTCAGTTGTTTCCCCCCACTTATGTACATTAATAATTAGCATACAACATAATCTACATCTTTACTTGTGATGTAACCACGTAAACAGTGCAGTACACTCATTTTATGCCAGATTGCGACATTTTTGATGCAACAGTTGAGCTCTTATTCAGAATTTTCATTAAAAAAAACTAGAAACATGCCTTTTTTTTTAAAGAGTGATTTGAACAACGAAGACATAAACAATAGATTGCACAAAGTATTGCATGGCCTATTTTGTTATACCTCCTTAGGTGCATACTAAATATACGGAGGTAACGAATCGAGGTGGCTTCATTATCCTCGTCTTTAACGCTGCAAAAAAAAAAATATGATTCTAACATTGTTGCTGCCCTGGTAAAACAGGCAGTTGTATTTTATTTCTGTTGAATTTGTACTTCAGTTATAAAGGATTCACTTATTTGCTTCATTTATGTAATTGTTACTATAGTATGTACTTGACGAGATACCACGAAATATGCCAGGCAGTTAATTGTGCAATCTATTGTTTGTGTCTTCTTTGTTCATATTTACAACGGGAAAACATTGCTTCAAAGATCTATTTATCAGAGTTGAACTTTCTGCTGTGTAACTTTAAAATGCAATCCAGCAAGGGTCGCTATATATATTTATGTACCTTAAATAAGTAGAAATACATTCTAATTTCTTGTTGTGCCAGGAACAGATCCAACCTAACATTTAGACTGAAGTAAATATCAATTTATAATTCCATCTATTTATATTCCACTACAGCTGCGATATAATTTTATGAACATTGGCACTAATTTTTAGATACACAATAGTAAATAATATAGAATGCCATGGACATACATGATGACCGGTACCTAATGGCATGGATTAAAAGGAGATCTACTGTGAAGGGTTCTGTCAGTGAACTAAAAATACACGTTTAAGCCATATCTTGTTATCAATCACTGTCTGCGCAATAAGTTTGCTTCGACTCGCTGTATCATGCTCACACCTGATTGAATGATGATAACAAGATATGGTTCAAACATGTATTTTTCTTTCACAGACAGAACCGTTCCAATGCCAATTCGTCCAACAAAAATTTCAAATTTGATCCTCTTTCAGCCGCCCGGAGGCCTGCTGTATCGAAGAAGGGTCCTTAGCTGTCTTATATGGTTTCCTTTTATTTGTGGTGTGTGTGGCACAACCGTTCACAGTAAATCTTCTTTTAATCCATGCCACGGGGCATCGGTCCTGGTGTATGTCCATAGTTTGTCCATCTCTTGATGTTGTCCTCCCACTTGTGACTAATCTACCTCTTGCCCTCGACCTTTTCCTCCAGTATAAGTTTTAAAAGTATGTTATGTCTTTTAATGTGGCCATAATTGTCTTTTTTTTTTTAAATTTTTTTTAATAATTCTTTTTTTTTTCTTTCATTCACAGTCTTCCAGAACCTCTGTATTTGTTTTTGTTTTTGTTTTAATGAAATACAGCATTTTCTTCTACATATCCACATTTCCAGAGAATCAGTTTGATTTTCTATTTGCCTGTTCATTAACTAAGTTTCTGCACCATACAGCAAGGTTGAGTATACAAAACATTTGACTCTTCTCATTTTTAATGTGTTGTTTATCTTTCTAGCTGTCAGTAATTGTCACATCTTATGGAGATAGTTTTAGCCATTCCTATTCTTGTTTTAATTTTTTTCACTTCTGTCCTCATCTGTTGCTATATGTCCCAGATAAGAGAATGCCATGTCTTATAAAGACAGTTAAAGTAAAAGTAAAGATCCCTTTTCACGCCTTTTAGGTGCATCAGGTATATGGGAAGAGGACCCATATTTTTACAGACCAATCGGCACTAGGTGGGTAATGTGGTCAACATTAGGCCGGCCGTCTTTACTTCCCAAGGACAGCCATCCTGGCACCCATTTTAGGTAACCATTTTAGGCCGGCCGTCAACCTGGCACCCATTTTAGCCAACTGCGACCATTATGAAAAAATCCACGCAGCCAGCAGTGGGTTTCAATCGCAGTACGCTGGAATCACGAGTCGGACTCGCAACGTCTAGGCCACGGACGCCACTATAAAGACAGGTAGACTTCCATTAAGCTCTGTCTGATTTGAATGCCCTCTCCTTGTAGTTATCATTTATCAGGTGATTAAAAACTATAGAACTGCTTTTTATTGATTTTGTTTAGGTGTTCAACTTCTATAATTTACACTCATTTTATAGTTTATTTATACTTATGTAAAGACGTTCCACTTTTTTACAGCATCTTATGAGACGGAATAGACTCAAGAACATCTGGTAAAATTGATAGAAAAGTGCTAGAGGAATGCAAAATAATAAATATCATAATGGCTTGGCCACACCTGGTGCTTGGTTCTGATGATGGTATGGAATGGTGAACCTTCACTATCAACACTTATCAGCATAGCACATGATGTTGATGATGATTATGATGATGATGATACTTAAATATAACTTCATGCTTCTTGATGATTTTTCAGACTGCCAGCAAGTTGTCTGAAGCTTGTCAGCATGTGAGTACATACATCTGTTTTACCATTGTACGTACGTTATCGTTCCTTACTGTCGTTTGCTCAGATGGGTCTGTGCTTCGCCATGTGAGAAGCTCGTAAGCTTTTACGGTTCAGGTTGGAGTTGGAATTGTGAAGCAAGAGTCTGGTGCTTTGGCCTTGACTACAAGTAATCTGACTGTGAAGGTCCTGGCAGTGACCAGAGCAGGAATATGGCTGGAGACGCAAACCTTCACCCGTCCATGTTTTCTCTGACTCATGAAGAGAACTGATTGCCCACATCAGAAAGAGACAATCTACATTCTTTGGGCATGTGATGAGAAGGAGAAAACCGAAGTACACTGTGACAGTAGGAAAGTTGAAAGGGAGGAGAGGCAGAGGGGGACCAAGAGAAAAGATGTTAAACAGTTTGACATCATGGCATGGAGGATCATTTGCGTCAGAGTTGATTGGAAGTTCCCAAGACAGAAGGTTGAGGAGAGACATGACTACCAACATCACACGGCATGGACTTATGAAGAAGCATTCTCTGTGACTCAATGAGTATGCTCAAGAAAATAGAAAAAGGCTGGGTCCAAAAACTCTCTGAGCCGGTTTGGGCTGATGCATATCAGTTTCATGTTCGTGCCAGGGCACGCAGGTGTCCAAGGGAATGAGCAAGCTGACAGGCTTGCTGGTAAATTTACCCTGGTGGGTGGACATGCCATGGAACATGATCATATAGTGAATGCTCTATGAGAAGTGGGACTTGTGCTAGAACCGGGTGTTGACTGTGAATCTGCAACAATGACTTGACTGCAATAACAGCATGTTAAAAGGGGTGTAGCCAGACAAAAGCACTATCAGAAAGCCAAAGATGAATAAGAAATCAGCACAGGACTGGTGATCATTAGCAGCTACACGCTGCATGATTTACTGAAGAGGGGATCCGAGCACTTATGGACTGAATGGTTTGATGTGCAGTGAGGGTAGTCTGTTGACGAGCTAACTAGCTTACTTTCCTTGTTAGTTAAAAGTACTAAAGTGTGTGATTCTTTATGAACTGTTATGTTGACTTTGGGATATTGAAAAATAGTTTGTGTGTAAACTGTTATATTGATTTTGTTTGTTTGTTAACAGTTAGTTTGTGAGTCTCCTCACAATTGTTAATTGGGGATAGTTAAAACAGACAAGAAGATATATGCAAGTGTTCAGCAACTATTGTCCTGCTTACCTTTGCATTGCTTGGTCAAGTCTTTTGTATTATGTCTATCTCACTTAGGGATATCTGCAAGTTCTCATCAGCTTGGTCAAGTCTTTCATATTAGGCCTATCTCACTTAGGGATATCTGCAAGTTCTCATCAGCTTTGTC